ATTATAACAATTTAAGGCAGTGTACCTGGTGTTTGAGAAGAGAGAGCTCATTCTCAAGAGAAGCAAAAAGGGTAAAAGCAGCTTTATGAAGGGAAACGGAACTGTTACTTTTAGTGCAGAGAAAATCAAAGGACGTAATTGCATCAGAAGAAACAAGCTCTCTAAACTCTTCTTCTTGCAAGTGATTTACAGCACAATTGGGTGAGCATACAAAAGCGATAATAGAACCCTTTGTTGGTGGATAGTCATAAACTTGGTATTTAGCAGAGAAAGGAAGAGATTGGTTCTGATCCACCAAAAGAGTATCTTTTTGAAGCTTCGAAATTGCATCCCATGAATGATTTAATAGGTCTGATCCTACCAATACATTGCCCAATTCCACTCCAGTGTTATACCTGGAATTGAAGATGAAGATCTAATGATTAGAATCATTGACTGAAAACCATAAATTGACAAGTAATTAATAGTGGTTGATTGCTTACAACGACACCATTGGTGAAGAGCAGCTTCAGACACAAACTGGGTTTCTAATTTCAGCTTTTTGCCAACACCGCGTGGGAATAACTAATTCCTGAAAAATATTTATTTTGTGTCTAATATAACTGACACTAGTTGTACGAGGAAAATGATTTTTTTTTGTCTCGCAGTTTTCTGAATCCAGATTTTTATGGATCCAAAAGTATAAGATTGGGATCTATAAATTCGTGAGACAAAAAAGTTGTGTGAGGCACACAATTAAACTTCTCCGCGATACGTTCCAATATTACATACTATTCAAAAAAAATTATGAATTACTTTTAGTGTTTGTTTCAAGCTATTGCTAATATAATGAGTACTACATGTCAAATTATAATATTAAACTAATCTCTCTGTTTCAGTTTCTATGAACCTATTTCATTTTTTGTCTGTTACAAAAAGAATGACTCATTTTTAAATTTGAAAATAATTTGGCTTAAGCTTCCAATTCTACTCTTAATGTGAGGCTTTTATAACCACACAAATACTCTGGATCCCTTTCTAACATGATTAAGATCGCAATTTCAAAAGTCTTTATTTTTTCTTAAATTTCGTGCCCAGTCAAACAGGTTCACGTAAATTGGAACGAAGGAAAATATATAATCATTCAAAACCATCACATAAAAGGAGATGAAAAGAATATGATTTTCTTTTTATCATTTTAGGAGCAAAGTGTGAGAGGATGTTAGAAATATTAAATAGCTGTGATAGAATCATTAAAAGTAACATGATAACTACAAAATAAATTAACGAGGTTGATAGCTAGCTCACTTGCTAAAATATTTGTCTTTTACATTGAGGCGTGGATTATGATTTAAACTTCATCAATAGTGTATCATTTCCTTTCCCTTTTCCTTTAAAAAAGAAAGAAAAGAAACTATGATTACTACACAATTATGCACAATTGGAATATTGCTTTTTCTAGTTTTATTCTTAACGAATTTAATCTTGTGGTATATATCAAGTTATTCTTATGTTAGTGGACTTGTGTCGACCATTCAAGAGTTGCTACCCAAGTGTGAACACAGAATGTAACATTTGGGTTTAATTAGTCTCATGAATGGAGAGGTATAGAAGAAAACAATTGTACCTCTACAGTCTACAGTATCACTATCTCTTGTTCTAGAATGATTTCACCAATGTCAATAAAAAAAAAAGTTCAACATTTCCCTCAGATTTTAACATTACTACTTTTCTTAATTATTGTCCTTACTTTCTTTGTCAAGTTTACACATAATGTTTTATATATTTCATAATTAACCCAAAATGTTTCTCCCCATTCTTTTTGTTAAAGAATTTTATATAGGAATGTAAAAGAATTATGAAAAAAAACAGTACTTTAACCAGTACGACAATTTTGTTGAAAACTGATCCTTAAATTAAGGGTGGCAAACGGTTCAGGCCCGGGCCTAAACGGGCCTCGTGGGCTTGTCCTAAGTGAGCCCGGGTTTCGTGGGCCGGGCTTAAACGGTCCCGAGCTTCGTGGGCTTTTGGATGTAACCGGACCATGACCACAAACTAATGTTCTCGGGCTAAGTGAGTCGAGCCCGGGCCTAAACAGGTCTAAGTGGGCCTGGCCAATTTCTTTAAAAAAATTTTTATCTAAGGCAATTTCTTGTAAATTATATAGCTTATATATATATATATATATATATATATATATATATATATATATATATATATACACACACATGGCTTATATTAATTTTTTAATTCAAATTTAAAAGACAAAATATTGTAAAAAGTTATTCAAAGGAATGCGTTATAATTTTTATTATTATGACACTAACAAAACATGGCCCAATCTTTCTTAGTCTTCTCTCTCCCCCCCCCCCCGCGCCTTCCCCAATGGAATGAGCACAACCAAGGTGCTAATACCACCATTGAGAAGAAAAAGAAACGAATCAAGATGTGCCAAAATACAAGTTACATATTAATTTTACATGGTATCTCTTACAAATTTCATAAATCCATCAAGGTTCAGAGGAATTTTCGTTGGTGGTGGCGGAAAAGAAACTTGTTCATCACCGCTCCCGGGCGAAGCTGCATCCTTCACAAGTTCAACTAGCATTTTTTCGTAAGCTTCGTCTACCTCTGGT